TACCACCACCACCATCAGCACAATTACCACCACCACCACCATAACCACCATCACTACCATCATCACCACTACCATTACCACCACCACCACCATTATGACTTCTGCCACCATTATGACCTCTGTCACCATTATCACCACCACCAATACCACCATTACCATCACCATTATCACTACCACCATCACCACCACCACCACCACCACCAATATCACCACCACCACCATTACCACCACCACCACCATTATCATTACCACCACCACCACTATTACCACCCTCTCTACCATTATCACCACCACCACCATCACTATTACCACCACCATCATTATTACCATCACCATCACCACCACCATTACCATCATCACCATAACCACCACCATCACCATTACCACCACCACCACCACCACCACCACTTCCACCAGCACCATTACCACTACCACCATTATGACCTCTGTTACTATTACCACCACCACCTCCAATACTACCACTATCACCAATACCAACACCACCACCACCATCAGCACAATTACCACCACCACCACTATTACTATTACCACCACCACCACTATTACCACCACCAGCACGATTATCACCACCTCTACCATCACTATTACCATCATCAACACCATTACCACCACCACCACTACCACCACCACAAACATCACCAGCACCATTATCACCACCACCACCATCACCATTACCACCACCATCACCATTACCATCACCACCACCATTACCACCATCACCATTACCACCACCATCACCATTACCATCACCACCACCATTACCACCATCACCATTACCATTATCACTACCAGCACTACCATTACCACTACCATCACCATTACCACCATAACCACCACCACCACCACCATGACCACCACCACCACCATCAGCACCACCATTACAACCACTACCATCACTGTCACTACAACCACCATTACCTCCCTTACTGTCTCCTTTACTGTCACTGCCAACATCACCATTACCACCACCACAACCATCATCACCACCACCATAACCATCATCACCTCCACCATAACCATCATCACCTCCACCATTACCACCACTACCATCAGCACCACCATTATAACAACCCCCACCCCCTACATTACCTCCCTCACCTTCCCCTTCACTGCTCCTGCTACCATCACCACCATTGTCACCAGCATCATTACCATTAACACCACCATTACCACCAGCACCATCACCATCACTACCACCACCTCCACCAGTACCACCATTACTTTCCTCACCTTCCTCTTTGATATAACTACCAGCACCTGTTACCATTTCTCCTTTCTTAGCACCACTACCACCACACTCACGAGCACCACAATCACCATTGCTGCCACTACTACCACTACCAGTTCTACCACCTCTCCCAGCTCCAATTCTGTTGCCATCACCCTCACAACTATTGCCCCCACTCCAACAACTACCCTGGTATCTATTACCATTTCTGCCACCAGGACCATTGCTCTGGGCCAGCTGCAGAGGGCTTCTCCTCCCATGGAGCCTGAGCCTTACCTTGCCCACATGGTGGGGCAATGAGGAGTTTTTCTCTTCCTCAATGTGCATCTGGTTCCAAATCCAGGCTCTTTTCTGGCGCTGGTGAATAGGCAGCATGCCAGGAGTGTCCGGTTGGGTAGGGTTAGAGCCTGCCACTGCTGCTGTCACCAGCAGGCCTAGGTAGGCACCCAAAGCAGCCACCAGCATCGTGAGCCTCTGCATCCCCTGGGGAGGAGCCAGTCTGGGGAAAGAGGAGAGACACCATCAGGACATGGCCATTATCCTAGGGTCTGAATAGTTCCCGTAGAGAAATGAGCTCCCTTTATCTGTTCATGCCTTCATCCGTCACTCTGCAGACAGAGGAATCAGACCCTGTTCCTGACCCAGGGGAGYTGGGAGTCTGGGAGGAGAAGGCAGACACAGAAATGATTCCTAGTGCATGCAGGTACATGGGCTAAGATGGAAGCAGGTGCGAGGGGTATGGGGAGCCTCAGAGGCTGCTGGGGGGTCTCCTGAAGGAGGGGGAGATGCTGATGTTAATCACAGTCCCACGAGCTCCAGCCAGGAGGCATTTGGGCAATCGCCATTTTACCAATGAGGAAACTCAGTCATGAGGAGGTGAAGTCCATGTAGGCACCAGCAGCGAGGCTGAGAACAGAGCCAGGCTTCTGACCTCCGTCACCAACCTTTATTGAGAACTTGGTATTTGTCTGACTTTGTTCCAGGAGCTGTATGTATGTTAACTCATGTAATCTTCCTAATATCCCTCGAGGTTGGAATAATTGTGATCTTCATCTTACAGATAAGCTCATAATCAGAGAGGTTTAGTAACTTCCTGAGATCACCCAGACTGTAAGGAGGAGAGACAGGACTGGAACTGACTCTATCTGTCTCAAAAGCTCAGACTGCGATGGGGTGGGATTTTAAGATTCCTCTGAACAAACATGCCCTCCCAGCCAGTATGCCGTTTGGTAGGTTTGCTCTGATGCTGTCTGAGAAGGTCCCCAGGAAAACACCAATGTTTGAACTCAGAGGTTTGCACCTCACTCTAGGAGGCACAGGAGGTAGTCTCCTGAGGATCTGTCATAAAAGCAAGGCTTGGCATGTGGCGGCTTAAGAGTCCTGCTTCATGGATTTGTAATTGGCAGACCCCGTGCAAAATAGAAATGTGGGTCCTTCATTCGAAAGTTACGAAGAATTTTTGAGACAGATGAATACTAAGCTAAGCACTTTGAAATGCAAGCCCTGTGCAGTTTTGCAGGTTGTACACTCTTGAGGGCAACCCCACGGGCCAGGAATATGGTGACCCATGTCACCCAGAGATCAAAGCCTGTCCTCTGCCTGAATTTCAGAAACACACATTTTCTTCATTTCCCCAAAGCAATTGGAGGCCATGCCCTTGGYCATCAACCTGCCTTCTCAACTCTGACTCTACCTGTCCACCCATTCTGGGTCCCTTGTATCACTGACCTGCAGCTCCTGAGACAGTGGAGGGAAGAAAGTCGGTGAGTGGGAGTGGGGACCAGTGTGCATGCTTGGCAGGACACAAGGACTCACAGGGTATGGGGTGGGACTGCCTCTTGCTCAGCCTGCCCACGGGGGAGGCTGGACTCTGTACCTCATAGGAGGCTTCTGAACTCTAGTAACGTTTCCTCTGAGCCACTGGCGCCAGGCTGGCCTCAGCAGGGCCCAGGGAGTCTGTGCTGGGCTAGCTGGTCTCAGGCCTGCTGACCTTAGCATCCAAGGGCCCTGCCTCTGTCCCAGGAGGAAGTGATCTCCCAGGGTCCTGGAGTCGGGGTGGACCCTAGATGCAGGTGCTATGTTTTGGGGGAGCCCTGCCTCCTCTAGACTTCAGCTTCTTGGCCACCAATGAGGGGGTCTAGCTGGAGGACGCCTGGTGCCCTTGGTAGTAGGGTGCTCCAGGCAGGATGAAGGCAGTGGACAAAGGATGGAGGAGGGAGGGGGAGGCTGGAAGTCATGGCCAGGAAGCTGTCCTGGCTCAGGGAGGCAGCAGGCAGATGTCACAGCTGCTGCTGCTCCAGCCCCAGGCCCGGCAGCCCCCGGGCCCTATGGGGCCATTTCCTTCCTCCCAGAAAGAAAGAGCAAATCTTGGTTCTTTCTGTCTCCCTCATGTGAGAAGTGACTCTAAAATGCAAAAGCAAAACAAACAAGTGAAATCAGGAAACAGCAGGAGAGAGTTCTCAGGCCTCCGGGCGGGACAGGGTGAGTCTTGTTCAGTGTGGCACGGGGACAGGACTCTGGGTGAGGGGTGGCTGACTGAGACTGAATCCAGGGAAAACTTCTGGGAGGTTTTGTATTTTTTTGGTGTTGGAGATGGAACTCAGGGCTTCCTGCATGCCAAGCAAGCGCTTTACCACGGGTACTCCCCCGCCCACTCAGAGAGAGTTGTGAGCCCACGTCTGAGGGTCAGCTTTAGGGATGGCAGAAGGAGGAAGAGAATATTAGGCAGAAGCACCGACAGATGCAAAGGCCTTGAGGCGAGAAACTGTTCATGTACCTGAGGAACCAAGGAGTACCCAGGGTCAGAGGAAATGAGCAACAGGGGCTGGGAACAGGAGAGGTGGCCAGATCTGTGTAATAGGCTGAATGACTGTCTCTCCCCCAAGGGTCCGCGTCTCATTCCCTGGAACCTGGAATGTTACCTTATATGGCAAAAAGGGGCTTTCGGCAGACGTGGTTAAGTTTTGGGTCTTGAAATGAGAGGTTAACCTGGATGATGTGGGTGGACCCCAATAATCACATCATCCTTGAGCGGGGAGGCAGAGGGCCAGAGTCAGAAAAAAACAGACAAAGTAATGACAGGAGGCTTGACGTGAGGGGAGCCGCCATCCCAGGAAGGCCAGTGGCCCCTGGGGGCTGGAAGAGGCGGGGCAGGGATTCCCCTGGGCCTCCAGGGGGAACGCAGCACTGACTTCAGCCCCTGAGCCCCATTTCAACCTTCTGAGCCGCAGAGCCGAGAGTTAACCCATCAATGAGCTTGTGTTGCCTTAGACCCCAGATTTGTGGCAGGTCGTCCCTGCAGCCTTGAGGGGGGATCTGTTCCCACTCCTGGGCCTCAGCTTCTAATCACTTGCTGGGGGGGGGGGCAAGCAGGCTCTTCTGCTTTCCCTTCCATCCCTGCCAGATCCCACCCTGCCCCACCAGCCTCTGCTCTGCGTCAGGAGGGCTGCTCTGGGCTCGCGTCCCTGGCCTCTGGCTGTTTGGTCAGGAGCTGGTCCCGCAGACCTTCCAAAGACCAGAGGAGGGCTGTGGACAATGTCTTCCCTGCTCCTCTCCACTCTGGCTCCTGTTTTCAGCTGTGGTCACATCGCTCCATGATGCCAGCTGCTGGTGGGCGGCCCCTGGGTCCTCCGATCCTCCCTAGGTTCTGGAAACGTCCTCCCTCTGTCCCTCTGGTCCTGAGACACTACAGCTTCCCCTGTCCCTGGCCTCTGGGTGCCTCCACATCCCGCTTGGCCCTGTACCCAGTTCCCGCTGTCCTTTCACAAAGTCTCTATGTGGGACCCCAGGTTTCCTGATGGGGCTCAGACAGAGGACGGGTCATGGTTTTCTTTATTTATCACCCAAATTAATAGATGACCACACGAGACCTCAATAAAGCCACGTCCACTGGCCCCGGGCTCTGGCCACATGGTTCACGGGGGGCATTAACTCCTCGGTGGGCCCAGGAGTTAAAGTTCTTGGGGGGAGTAGAGAAGCCCTGTGCATTCTGTTCTGTGTCCATCAAAGGCCCATGGTCCACACGGGTCAACTTCAAGCTCCTCCCAGTCAACTATATCAGTATGTCCCTTGCCAAGGGAGGGGGAGGACCCTGGCCATGAGGGCTTTTAGGAGATGGGATCGTGTAATTATCCCCACGTGACACGGAAGACTTGGGCACTCTGAAACAGTGTTTTCTTGTCTGACATCCCTGAGCACCTCCCCGGAGGCACATTATCTCACTCACATCTTGCAATGATCTTTGATGTAGTTGTCAACCATCCAATTTTGCAGGAAAAAGGAGGCTCAGAAAGGTGGAGTGAGCCAACCCAGGTCACACAGGAGCAAGAGATGGAGCCAGAATTTGAACCTGCCCTCAGTGGTGCGTCGTGCCCCTCTCTCTCGCTCTCTCTCTTTCTCTCTCTCTATCTCTCTCTGCAGTGACACTCACATGTAATATTAATAAACCATTTCCAGTGCTTGGCTTTCAGAGGCACCACCTCATTTAGTTTTTGCAGTCTCCCCAGCCTCCTGAAGAGGTAGGAATTGTCATTCCCATTTCACAAATTAAGAGCCCAAGGCTCAGAGACAGACTGCTTATCAGTGGTAGACCTGGCCCCCTCTGCCCAATCTGTCTTTTTCTAAACCCTGGGTTCCTTCTACACCCAATCTCAGAGGAATCCGAGGGAACTCATCGTTTGAAAAACCACACTCCACTTCTTTGTGATTTTTGCTTTTGTGTTAAAAATCTGGCCATCAAAACAGGGCCAAGGGGAAGGGTTTTGTAGACAATCACTCATTCCTCCTCCTGCCCATGGAGAGGAAGGCAGGGGGTCAGATTGGCCAAGGCCACAGCCGGAAACAGAGTGTTCCTGGGCTGCAGTTTGGAGGCGTGGCCAGCAGACAGTTGGGGTCAGGCTTATTTTAGGCTTTTTGCTTTTAGCAAGCCGAGTCACGCCTCTTCTACTGTTCTCACCACTTTTTGGAGAGATTTTGGGTGTCTCTGGGCAGATTTGGGGACTGTGGACGTCCAGAGCGCCTGAGGACCTTGGGCTTGGTTTTGGGGATGAGCAGTTCCTGGCTGAGCGGTCTGGGAACCTGCCTGAGCTCAGGATGGGTGGAGAGGGGGTCTTCTGGCAACTCAGCTGTGGGTACTGGACACCCAGAGGCCAGGGCCCTGCCCATGGCCCTGTCATCCAGAATCTGTGCTCATGTCATCTCTGAAGCCATGTTAGTTTTGTAAGCCATTCCAAATGGATGAAGGGGACCCCTTTGTGGCACATACTAGGATGGAGGGACTTAGGAAGCTGTGACAGGGAATGGGAGAGGGCCCAGTGGGTGAAGCCTAGTCCCTGGAGGGAGCCCTGCCTCTGTCACTCATCCCCATGAGGCTCAGGCAAAGTCCCCTTTGGTCCTTCTCTTGGTGTCAATCCATCTCAGGGCTTGGGCTTGCAGTGGGCTCAGTTCCATGCTCTCTAAATCATACGCTGGAAGGAGGGGAGGGGACATGGCTGAGGGGAGGGGAACTGTCGGGTAGGGAGGGGCTGAGCCTTCTCTTGGGATTCCCCGGGCCCTCTGCCCTTGTGGTTAAGTAGATGGTAGGAAATTTGGACCCAATTGGGAGCCCTTGGGTGGGGCACTGAACAAAGGCCTAGGCTGGTTCTGCTTCTGACCACAGGGCAGAGCCCTCCCCCTCCATCTGATGAGAGCCCCGCTCAAGTTTTAGATTTCAGGGGCCAAGTCTGGGCTTTGGGGTGATGTTGAACAGGCCTCTGGGGCTGTGTGGAGGAAGGCTCCAGGTCAGATGCACACGCAGCATCCTCAGGCCACACAGACCCCCAGCCCTCACAGACGCCTGCATGAGGACACAGCCCTGGGCACAGACTGCCCACGCTGTCTGAGACCCTCTGCTCCTTCCCTGCACACAGCCTTCAGCCAGGATGGGATCTAGCAGCCGAGCCCGGCTCCAGGGACAACCTCTGGAGATATACGGAATGCTAGTCCCAGCCCAGCCTCCCACTGGCTCTGGACTCCAGCCCAGAGGCCCTGGGTCAGGGATGAGGGTCAGGGTGGTGGGAGGGGATGGCCCAAAACACGCAGGGGGTGTGCTTGCAGGCAGGGTGGCTGGAGCCTGAGCTCCGTGGGTGGCCTTGGAGGCTCTCTATCACCCGCTTGTCCCACTCCGCGAGCCTCTGTCTAGGACAGAGTGGGACCCACTGATCCCCAAACTCCCCCTGAGACCCCCACACTATCTGCTCAAATCCCGGCACTTACAGCTGGGCCTTGGCAGCTGCCCACATTGGGAGGACAGAGGCCAAGGCCCTGGGAGCCTTGGGGACAGGGTGAGGCCCCGCAGCTATGAGCCGGCTTCTCTCGCTTTCCTTTATTTGTGGCTCAGCTCAATCCGGAGTCCTCCTCCTGGGGGGCCCAGACTGCTCCTCTCCTAGCAGAGTTCTGCCAACAGCCTCCCTGTCTAAACTGTACCCCTGCAGGTTGAAGTCCAGCTCCTGAGCCAGTCTTCAAGGACCAGCTCAGTGCGTCGCCTGCCTACCCTCCAGCTCTCCTCTCTTCCGCCCTTCTGCCCCTACCAGCCACGAGGAGAATGAGAAGTCTCTGGAATGCACGACGCTCTTCCGGTCACCAGCAGGGTTTTCACACAGGGGCCTGGAGTGCCCTTCATCCTCTGGGTGATGCTTTAATATTTTCCAAGCCCAGTCTCCCCTCTCCTTGGTCTTCCAGTGGCCACCAGGATGGTCTAGGCCTTCTGGACCAAGTGTCTCTGCCCAAACAATTTCTGGGTCTAGGTCCCCACTTCATTCTAGCATCCAAGTATGAGGACTCAAGGGCCCAGACCTGGGGGTGTCAAAGTCCCCCTCCATGGCTGTCAGTCTGGCTCAGTCTCCAGTTCTGGTCTTGCTACTGATTCCCTTGCCGCTCCCAGGATTTAGAAACCAATCTGCATGTTTGCAGACAACAGGTAGGGTGGGCAGAGCGGTGGCAATCATCAGCATAACCCAGAGAAACTTATCCCTACCCCCAATGGCCCATCTCATTGTCAAATACACCACTGTAGGTTTTTGGGGAGCAATGAGATTATCCTTGCTAAGGGTCCTGATGATATGTACACACCTCTGAGTGGGGGGCCTCTTTAGGTAGGACTGGCAAGACAGAATTCAGAGGTGGCCTCTCACCCCTGCCCTCACCCATGGCAGACATCACCAATCAATCAAAATATTCATAACCACCAAACTTGAACTCAGTCCCTGAATCCTCAGTGCAATCTATGAGGGAGGAATTACCAAAGGACCAGAACTAATTTATGATTTGAAACAAATTGGCAGCCTGGCCCATGTGTTTCTGGGCTCTGGGTCATCCATGCTATCTTCCTGTCCTAAGGAGACAGGAAGGAGCTTCATGCATCTGCCTGTCGGAACCTGCCTGACTGCTCACGAGCTGTGCGACCTTGGGCCCATCCCTTGCTCTCTCTGAGCCTCAGCTTCCTCATCTGCAATGGAGGCAACAGTAGTGGCCTCCCTGGTTGGGAGAACTAAGTGAGGTCACAGGTGTAAGCCCAGCACACAGTAGGTACTCAATCAGTGAATGTGTCTTGACCGCCATCTGCCCACCCGTTTGGTCTGGCAGCTGTGGCTTGGACTGCCGGCTAGCCCCTGACCTCATTTCCTGGTTCTGCTCTGGGCTGACCTCCTGCTCCCCTTGTTCCTCTCCAGAAGGAAATCACATTCAGCAGGGCCAGCCAGCGGGTCTGAGTACCCGCCGGGGTCTGATAAGCTGGAGGGGCCTGCGTAAGTTTCAGGACTGGAGAGGTGGGGAGACTGAGGCAAAGGCAGGGCGATGTCCGAGGCCTCCCCGGCATCTCGGGCTCCTGCTCTTCCTCCAGGAACCTTCTGTTGACTTCTCCACCCAACACCCCAGGTTTCTCCTCATCTCTCCCGGCAGGAGCAAGTTCCTGCATGCAGAGCCCATCTCCTAGAGCATTCTCTCCCCAGGGTCGCTGTTCTCCTGGCTGGTTCTTGGGCCTGCTTCTTCCTCTCTGAGCTTCACTATGGACTGTAATCGGTATGGGGCCCAAAGGACTGTCCTCATCAATGTTCTGCTTTTACTTTGTACTGGCTGTGTGACCTTGGATTGATCTCATGATCTCTCTGGGCCTCAGTGTCCTATATATCCAATGGAAATTCACGTAGCCTCACGTGAGAAGGGGGGCTACGGAGGGGTGGTGGAGGTAACAGGCATGGGTCCTTGTGAGGACAGGGCCTGAGATTTTTCCTAGAATGGTGGCCACAGTGTCCACTGCTTGTCCCTAAGGCAGCAGTGGAAGTGTGAGTCATCTAACTTTGGAAGAAAATAAGTGTAGCCCCTTCTGGCTTCCTGCCCCATGTCCGGCCCTTGTTTAGCTTCACAATGGTTGGGTCTGAGGCTGTAGGGTGGCAGCTTAACCCTTTTGGGGCTGGCAGACACCTCCCCTAACTTTCGGCACTGTGATCTAGAGCTGGTAGGGCTGCTTGGGGTGGCTCCTGGGCTCCTGGTGGGGGGGTACCCTCTGACCTTCAGCCTGGGGCCCACAGATGGCTAGACTCGGCCAGACAGGGGAGGAGCCTCAGGCCACTGGTCCTCTTGCTGCTTGGCCTCTACTCCCTGCTCCCCAGGCCCTCTGAGCTGCCTGGCCGTCCCTCCTCCTGGGATGCCTTTCATCACCTGTCAATCCCATCTGCCCACCACCCAGGGCCAGGGGGCATGGAGTAGGTGCCCAGAGGTGCCACCCCTCCCCCTCCCCCGCCGGGGGCTGACCCCTTGCAGCCGGAGATAGAGTGGGATGGGGGGCTTGGTGCAATGCCTTGGAGTCACAACATTATGCTTTCATAGCCACCGTCGGCTGGAGGGTGGCGGGTGAGTTCAGCGCACGGAGGTCCTCCCAGATCCCCTACTATGAGCCATTTCCAAGGCCAAATGTGAGCATCTCAAGTAAATGACCAAAAAAAAAAAGACGGTTTCCTCCATTTACACCTGAGAATCCCGAGCCACAGGTGCTGGGGAGAGCCTGGGCTCTGCAGGCCAAGATCTCGGCTCAGATCTCACCCCCGCCCCCACCCCAGCTCTCCAGATCTCCTGGGCTTCACCAGATGTGAGGAAAGAATCTACCCCCTGGGACCGCTCCTGGGCAAATAGAGAATCCAATTGCTCAAGAGCTTTCGAGGAGCATCATTTCTAGTTCTCAAAATAAATGGCAGAGACCCACTAGCCCCATCGCCCAGACAAGCAGACTGAGGTTTGGAGACTGGGTAAGGTCTCCAAGGTAACCCAGGAGCGGCCAAGCTGGAGTCTGTTCCCACGGTGGGTGAACTTCTCCAAACCTCCAAACCCCCACCCCGGCTGAGCACCAGTCCTCATGGCTGGCCGTCTGGGGGGCTTCCCCCGAGATCTGGGGCCATTGGCTCCTTATCCCTAGGCTTTGGTATCTGGGTGTTGGGTCTGCTTTTGGGGGAACCAAGCCCCACTCCCCCTCAGCCCTGAGACATCCACTTGTGCTCATGGCCCCACCACTGGACGCACCTTGCCCAGCCCTGCCTTGACCCCAGAGGAGACCCAGTCCTCCCGGGAAGGGCTGCTTCCCACCGGTCACCTCACAATCCCATTCCATAGACAAGGAAAGCAGGTCCTCCCCACTCTGGGGCACACACCTGGGTCGGAGGTGGAGAAGATGGAGCGCCCCCACTCACCGTGCCTGTGGGCTGAGAGCTCTCTCTGTTCTGTCTGGCTGTCTGTCCGAGGCCGAGTGAGGAGCTCTGCTGACCGCCTCGAGGGCAGCCACACCCAGCCAGCAAGGGAGGCCTGGCCACCGCCCCTCAGGTTTTCCAGCTGGCCCTGGCCCACTTCCCCCCGGGATGGTTTCCTGTTATTGTTCTTTTGTGAGGGCCAGGCTGCCTGCAGATAGGCAGGCCCCACGGTGGGCGGCTGCTTTGGCCCAGCGAGAGTGTCCCCACAGAGACCTGGCCCTGGCCCCACTCGGGATGCTAAACTCGGAGCCCGTATCCAGGCCTCAGCTCTGGACCTGTGAGCCCAGCACCTGCTAAGGGCCGGGCCTGGACCAGCACACAGATTCCCTCTTTGGGGCCCCAAAGGCAGGGGCTGTCATTCCCATCGACAGCCTGGGAGCGGAGGCTCTGTGGATCTGAGCAGCTCGTCTGCCCAGCCGCGGTCCACCTCGCCCAGAGCTGGGTTTCCCATAACTCTGTGACACTGTGGTGACGCCATAGCCTATGCGGTGGGTCCCTGAGGGGACTTCAGAGGTCTCAGGGTGGGGCAAGTGAGAGACAGAAACAGACAGCAGCTCTGGGCACAGGAGGACCAGGTCGCCTTCCCTCTGGGAGCGGTGCGTGTGTGTCTTGGAGTCTGAGGCACCAGTCTGGGTCTATGGGGGCCATTTGGGTCCAGAAATATTAGGTGAAGTCAGGAGTCCTGGCTCTGCTTCTGATATGACTGTGGCCCAGTCATGTTCCTGCAGAGCCTTGATTTCCTCATCTGTACCTTATCTGCATGGGAATAATTGTGGCCTAAAGGGTCAAAGATAGACAGAGCACCCCAGAACCGAGAGGCTGGAGGAGGTGAGGACCCAAATTCTGTGCATCATGAGAACCACAGAGGGAGCTTTAAAAACCGGAGAGGCCTGGGTCCACCCAGGACCCACTGACTTGGAATCCCCCCAGGGCGAAATTGGAAACTCTGTCCTTAGAGAGCTGCCCTGGTTTTCAGCAGGGCCCACTAGAGGGCGCCCTGCTCAGGAGCAGTCAGCAATCAGAGATGGGGAAGGGGTTTGAAGAACCCTTTAGGGAGGAGATAAGGTCTCTCCGTGTTGGCAGGTTGAATCAGAGGTGCTTACGGGAAACCTGAGTGGAGCTGGGGGGTTGGTACCTGGAGATGGAGTCAGATCTGGTTTGGGGATGAGGCTGGCAAGCCAGAAGTTTATGGCTGAACCCTAAGTCCGTGAGGATGGAGGTGCTTACAGGGAAGGAGGCCCAAAGAAGAGGGTCCAGTTAGAGGGAGGCCGTGAAAGCCAGGAGAGGACAGAGAGGTGGTCAGCAGGGTCAGGCTGCAGCAGCAGACTTGCTGCTGGATTTGGAAAATGAGGTCACTGACTTTGACAGAGCAGGTTAAACAGAAAAGAGTGAACGAGAGCAGAGCGATTGGAGGGTGACAGAGGGGGCCAGGAAGAGGAGTCACAGAGATGATTCTTCCCAAGTTTCGCAGTGAACAGGAGCAGGGGCGTGTGTTTTTAAAAGCTTGGTGGCATGTTTGTGTCCTGAGGGAGTGTCCCGCAGACAGGGAAGGCAGTTACTGGAGTGAGCAGGGCCACCTGCTGGTAGCAGAACAGTCCCTGAGGTGGGCTGAGACCCAGCGCTTAGGAGATGACAAACAGCGGCTCAGTGGCTCCCTTGCAGCGGGGCTGACCCTGCCTCCTCTGACCTCCGAGATTCAGGCCTGGCCAGTGCTTTACTCCCTGGTGCCCCTGCCCTGTCCCCCCACACAGACTGCCTGCCCTCCTGGCCTACGTGCTCACGGGAACTCGCTGGCCTGGGCACCACTTCCTGCTGCGTCTCAGACTTGGCACTGGTGGCCGATGGGGACAGGCCCTGTTCTGGCAGCATCTGCCAATTCCCTTTGTCTTCCCAGTCCTTGTGGAAGTTGGCTCTGCCCTGAACGCCGCTGTTCCTGTGATCCGTAAACAAGGGAATGGCCCGACAGGCACGTGCCCTGGGCGTGGGCTCCGGGTGGGCATCGAGGCCAACAGAGCAGAGGAAGTTCAGACCCCAGGAGGGGAGGCTAGTGCCCCCCCGTCCCCCCAGGGTCTCATCCCTGATCTTGGGGCACCGCCTGGCCCTGCTCCAGCCCATCCAGAGGAGGCAGGAGGAGGGCCCAGGGGCAGGAAGTGCCAACGGGAGCCAAGGGCAGTGTGGGCCACGGCTGGCAGGAAGCGGGATGGTCTGCAAGACCAGATTAGCAGCCCGAGGAGGAAGCGGGGCTGGGGCTCGGGGTGGAGTGGAAGAATGAGGCAGGGGAAACCCACCAGGCCTCTGCCAGGATGAAGGCTGGCCAGGGAGGGATCCCAGGGTGGAAAACTCCAGACCGGCAGCCCCAGGGCCTGATCAGGTCCTCCTGTGGCCAGTCGAGGCCTGTGTGACCCGGGGCAACCACTTTACCTCCCTGAGTTTTTCTCTCATCTGGGTAATGGGAGGAGGAGCTTGGCAGGGCTGTCTGGAGGATCAAAGGGACAGAGGGAATAAACAGAGGTCACAGGTCTTACGTAAGGTCTGTTTCTCTTCAAGCATCTGCCTCAGAATCACTTGGGTGGGCAAAGGGACTCGCCCCAGGCTGATGGAAGCAGAAGGGCTGGTGGAGGCTGCTCCTTAGGTCATGGAGGACCAGGGGAGGCCAGGCCAGGAGTCAGGTATGCCCCGAGATCTCAGAACCTTTTGGTACGGAATGGAAATTCACAGCCTGCCTCGTCTCCAGAGGCCATCTCCTTGCCAGTCCTGCTTTCTTGTCCCTCTACAGCCTTGCAGGTAACACTGAGCATAGTAGTTGCTCATTCAACAAAGATCGCCTTTCCTTCTGCTCCACAGCATGGGACATCCAAGGTCTGGGCAGGTGGATCTGCGCTCCAGCGCAGGAGGCATGCTGCGCCCCCCTTCTTCCCTCCTCCTTTGCTTGCAGAGGGCCCCTCCTCCTTAGATCTCTCCTCCTCTGCGCTTCCAGAGCACAGGCACCCATCACCTCGCACCTGCTGCCCTCCCCCGTCCCACCTGGGTGGGTCTTGTTTGTGAGCCGGTCCCTGCAGCGTGGACACTGTTTCAATGTGGAATGGAAACTGTGTGCTCCCTGGTTCACGCCTCCCCCACGGTGGGAACATCTGCAGCTTCCCCAGGGCTTCCTAGGGACTGGGGACTCTGTCTGCTCTGCGCCTGCCCTGGCTGCAGCTCTCAGCAGAGTGGGCTCAGGAGGCCCCTCCTCACGCCCACCTGCTCTGCCCACCCTGGCCCTGCGTGCCCCGCCTGGAGTCACGCTGTCCCTTCTTGCTGTGGCTGGCATGCTTGCAACCGCTGTTTGAAGCACCTACTCTGTGCCTCCCTGCCCCAGGCTCTGTACTTATCTCTAAGTCTCACGGTGGGTTATGTATCTGCCCATTTCACAGCATTAAGTAACTAGCTCAGTCAGTGTCCCCCTGACCAGTTCAAACCAGGTGCACGTGTGTCTGCTGAGCCTTCTGGAACCCTYTGGATCCAGCCTGGGACTGAGCAGCTCCAGCTTCTGCCTTCCAGCCTGCCCAGGCTGCCCTTGCCCAGCAGATGCCCTCCCTCCCGTCCTTCCCGATGCCATTTGGCCACTCTTACCCTTCAGTGCCCTTCAGCTCCAACTCACCTCTGCTCCATCAGCTTCCTATTCTTTAATGGCAACCCCCGCCCTGCCTCTCAGGTATCTGTGCCACACTACGCCCCTCCCCCACCTGCCCCCCTCTGTTCAGTTTCAAATCTCCTTGGGCCCTTCCCTCATTTCTCCTGCAACCATCTTCACAACAGCCTGGGGGTTTCCATTCCAGAAAGGCTGTGTCACCCACCTAACCAGCTCCACTGTGTCCCTCTCTTGCTCCATTTGCTTTTGAGGCACTTACCCTGAGCACYTACTCTGTGCCATCCTGTCCCAGGCTCTGTAGCTTTGCTGCTCAATGCCCACAGTTACCTTGGATTCCGGGAACTGCGGTTCTGATGCCTAAGTGTGTTTGTGTCAAGGAACTGAAACTACCCCCAGGCAAAGGTGAGCCCTCAGGACAGATGGCCCGCTGGCAGGGTGGCCCCTCTGAGCAGGAACGATCACCCCAYGATCAAACGGAGGCTGACCCAATGCAGGAGCAGCCATCCCACTGGGACCCGAATCGCCCAGGAGCAGAGTCACAGAACCAGTCCTGAGATAATGACCCACCAGGACACGTCTGACAAGGATGACCTCCTCTGCCAGCTGTGTAAACCCCCAGACACACAAGCCCCCAACCCTTGCTTTTATTCCCCTTCAACACCTTAAAGTTTCTGCCAGTCCCGTGAAGACAGGTCTTTGGTCACTGTACCCCTGTATCTGTTCTTTCCGGCATGGCCAAAGCTCCCTTCCTGCCCTTGGTCTCTGCCCATTTCTTTGATTGGTATATTGGGATGAGTGGCTGAGCCAGGTCCGTTGGGACTGCTGGGCCCACAGCCTTCGCTCCAGGATCCTGGTAACATCCTGAAGAGGGAGCTGAGCCTCAGAGAGGCTGAGTAACTTGCCCAAGGTCACACCGGAATAGTAGAATCAGGGTTCTCACCCTCACCTCCCTGGTACTCCTGATAAACTGTGATTGTTTTAAGTGCATTTATTTTAAAAATATACTTGATGATACCCAGCTCTATGCAGGGCGTGGGGACATAGAGATAACCCAGGTCATATCTTAACCCTTGTCTTCCATTTAGTGGAAGAGATAGACATGCCCACATGAGCGTGAGCCACATTGGGTGGGGCCGGGCTGGTGACAGAGGTGTGTGACCCATGCTAGGGGTGCCAGAGGAAGTGGCCTGGGTTTCCAAGCTGCTCTGAAATGATGTTCAGGAGCTCACAGAGCACAGATGGGGGAAGGGATCACAGGCAGAGGGACCAGCAAGTCACAGGCACAGAGCGAGACAGGAGGGCTGGGAGGAGTGTGGAGGTGCTGGGGTGGGGGGCAGAGAGGGCTGGAGATGGGGCCAGGT